GTATAGCAGTTGCAGAAAATTCTTAACGCCGCCGACTTCGACTCGCTAGGCACGGTCATTGACCTTTCCTTTTGGCGTACGTCTTTCTGACAAAATGTCTGCCAGTTTTTCTGCCGGCTTTTGTTTAATTCTCAACCTTGCAGCAATCATACTCCAAGTTCCAACACCAACTATCATTTCTTCCAACTCCTTGAACTAGTCCAGAGTTGTTTGCGCTCGAATCTGAATTAACTATAAACTCGGCTCCACGGCCAAGACAGCGTGTAGCCGCTGTGCTAATATAGTAATAACCCCATGTATTATCCACAAATTGTCAACAGATACATGAAAATAAGATAAAACAAGTATCATTGTAATTTTAGAATACAAATGCTAATAGCTAATTATTGCTATAAAGCGAAACCACGCCCTATAAACTCATTTACTGCACGTACTCTGTCTGTGTTCAGTATCTCACCGTAAACACGCCGTGCGCACGGCGCGTGCACGCCGTGTGGGCGAAGGACTCATTGCTTCTTTTAATGATTAATTAATGTTTGGGAGGCTGATACGCATTTTTTAGATATTGAGACTTTGAAAATGTGAATGGCATAAATTGTAAACGTGGTAAGACACATACAAGTATTATCAGAACTTCAGTGTCAGACCATGACAAATACAACTACCAAAGCGGCTTCTGCTTTTTCTTCCCTCCGCAGGCGTGGTACAGTAAATGTGTATTACTAATATCAAAGGCGCGGGAGACGTTCATGAGAACGTGCGCCCGGTGGGAGGGACTTCGCAAACCAGCGCTCGCTCAAAGATATGGTCGATGAAAGAAGGAAGCAGAATCGTACTTCCTGCTCAAAATAATCATGTAGACTGTGTTAGTTGTTTTGGATGGTACTTGTATTTTGTTGTTAGGTTCATGTGAAAGGATTCTACGCGGTATTTACGTCATCTCTGCCAAAATAAAACACTGTGCATGCGGCGCAGTTGCCTTGGCGCGGCGATGCGTTGTTGTTTTTTTGCCGTAAATCGGGCTATTTCATGAATATTCTCATGAATATTCCGTGTACACGGTGCCTGAAACATGAATATTCTGAATATTCCCCGCCCTACTGGCCCCCAAAATCCCGCCCACCCCAAACGTAAACACGCCGAACACACGATCGTGCATTCGCCGTGTACGTGTACACGCTACCGAAAAGTTCGTTAAATTTTACGGTCCTGGTAGTGTACAATGTCCAAATGGAACTTCTTTCTTTAGACCACTACGTCATCTTCTGTAAGCTTTAGGCTCTACTTTCTGTTTGAAGTCACATTCACAAGAAAAAAGACGTCTGGAGATTTAGATAAGGGTGAGTTTACGGTGCCGCCACCGCCTTAAAGGCAGACATCAGATTTAGAAGTCATCTGTATGAAAATTATATCGATAATAGGCTGGAAGCGGGGGGTAAAGGCTTAGAACTTCCTCCATGACTTGCATTTTTTAAGTCTTTATTTAGCCATTTGTTTTGAGGGCAATGCACAACCTCTCCTAGGAGACTTACTGCAGATTTCTTTTGGTTCTGACTTTGATCAAGATACATATTTTGGTTCATACCTCCTGAAGGAAACTTTGGTTTATGTGCAAAACTTATTGGAAATGTTGTGGGACAGAGAAAATAAAAGATACTTGCCTATCAGTGAGATATTACTTCCAGCGACATATTACTTACATTGTACATGTAAGTATGATGTTTTCCAATCATTCAATTCATCATCAATGGATTGACATATAAAAACAGTCAATATAAAAATTATTCATTCTGTATGTAGGTTAAAGATGTGCTGTATTCAACAGGAGATATTTTTACTTACAACATGTACTAAGTCAAATCATATCATCAGAAATCACACTATTTTAGACACAATCCTGCATTGGCAGTCCAGTTATGAAAAGTATAATTATTATCTAGATATTATACTACATCCAATTCCTGCAACAGCTGTAAAAAACCTTCCCTGATCATACATGTACATGGGAAAGTTGCTGTACTGTTGATAGTTGTTGTGCCTGATTCTACAAACTTTGACATTTACATACAGTTTTCTACTTTCCTCTGCTCCCAGTTTAAACCCTTTATATACATAATGCAACCTCTGAAACTCCTATGGAGTCATCATCTGTGATAAACTAAGGTGACAAGTCATCTGTTTCAGGATTACAGTACAGAACACAGGAATCTTCCCCACTCTCACCTCTCTGTTGACCCAAATCCTCCAGAGTCAGACAACCCGTTCATAATCAATACCGCCCCTTTTCTCTATCAATATCCACCATAGCACACTGTCTGACAAATTCATTATCCCACATTACAGGGGTACCTGGCCTAATTGCCCGCCGGCTTTGGTAATTGTATCCCAAATGGTTGGAGGATGGCCTCATTATCAGTCAATTTGGTGTCCTGGTCAGTGGAGGAAGCTCGGGCGATATGCTGAAAATTGGGGTCACCGCCCCAACTGTCTACCCTGATTTCTTACAAAAGTATTGATGAGAAGTTAGTTTTCTACAAGGGTTTGGACATGAGGACAGATTCACAGCTAGTAATCAGGGTTACTTTTGGGGTTAATCATTCATAAACACAATTCATAAACACCAAGAACTTTCAAACATTGTTTTTTACTGAAGATTTTCTTTCAAGTCGGTAAACCAGTAATCATTCTAGAATTCACTTGGCCAATGAGAAATTTGACAGAAAAAATCAATCAACTCTAGAAGACAGAAAAAAGGCTAAATCATGTGTACAATGAACTTGCAATATTGTGTTAAATATGAAATGTTTTAGTATATGTAGTCCATCCATGAACTGTAATGTGACTACCCTGTAACTTGCCTGGTTGCTTTAGCATGTAAGAAAGGTAGTGTTCAATTTAGCTTACAGTACACACCACAGGTTTTCTGGGTCATGGGTTTCTGCTTTCTGCCCAGGGCTGCTGAAATCCCCCAGTCGAAAATTGGATTAAAGTTATTCTCAAAGGACATTAGCAGTGGACCGTATGCCTGTCCTGTCTGTACGGGCTATTCTTCATTCAAATCACTCCATAGCTGGGTGTGGGGAAATCGGATGGATCACTGCACTGTTCCGTATACAGAATACATCAAGCAGCTGGATATATTGTAGAAAGAGCCAGACATTGCAGAAAGCATTTTCTAGTAACTGTAACTTTTCTCTTTGACTGAGAATGAGTCTGAACTGTATAGCCTGTATAAAAATGAGCATTTGAATTGGGCACTGTTTATTATTTATACTGTGAATACTCTTCCGCAAATGAAGACTCATAACCGTATGCCACACATGTCACCACAGTCTACTACTCATTCAAATTGGTCTCCTGATACAGTGTGAGAAAATTGGAGCCCGCGTTGTGGATACCCCTGTGTAAACCAGGACCCGGCTGCGATAACTCTTCCACTTGTTGTTAATACATTTTTTACAGCATGAAAAATGACAGTGGCTATCAGACACAGGTTGGGTGTAAGGGAAAACCTCCCCTAGTCACTCAGGTAATCATTCCTGTGTGGAAGAGGGATGGGGGATGACATAAATACTGCCGCAGTCAGATGTACTAGTAATAAAACGTGAAGAGTGAAACCTGGGTCGCTCAAATTATGCTGGCCTACTCCCTACTGACTATGGACTAACCACGACAAATTTGATGCCAAGAGGGTACCTCAGTAGGGGGAGGGTTAAGAATGGGGATACTAGTAGATTTGGGAATTGAATGTGGGCTTCTGCAATTTGACTTTAATTCCCAATGTATTGCAAAATCCTAGAGGAAAGAAGTATTCTCCTATGTATAAGTTCCTGGTCAGTCCATACTGTATGCAATAGTGACACAAATAGAAATTGAGATGATGGCCCTGTCCTTGGTGCTGAATACCAGGTAATGGAATTGAGGAAATGGCTTAGGAAAGATAAAAAGTCTCTGGTGTGGTATATTACACAACAAACCACAACCAGAAAAAGAGCCACGACTAAGGTAACAGGTCCTGTCCTTGGTGCTGAAGACCCGGTAATGTGTAGTATTCTACCACTCCTATTCCCTGTTGTTGTTGCACACATAAGTGTGAACATGTAACATACAGTGAAACCACAAATGTGACCCACACATATTAAGAAGGATGATGCACAAGCAACTGTTCAGTACCTACTGTAAAGCAACAGGAATTCGATAAATATATATATCTGCGGTGTCATGATTTTGCATGGGAAAGGCCAAAAAAAAAAAAACACAAACATTTCAAGACTTACAGTATAGTAAACCAGCAAGTCTCCACAAAACTCTATGAACCATTGCACTCTAACAGGACTATCATCATACATGAATAAAGCATGAAAACAGACCACTGTACATTATTCCAGCTGACTTCACACTGTAGCTTGAAAAGGTGGCGACATTTGACTGTGCTCACCCAAGGGACAAATTAGATTTTTCGACCTTTCCTTCTACTTGGCTTGGGTCCAACAAGGAAGACCTTAAACATCCTTGGCTCCCATGCTGGGGTCATCTGACCATAACATCTTACCAGCAAATTAAAATCTAAATGATGTTGAACTGAGAGACATAAAAGTAGAAAATAATACGAAAACAGTTCATGTCACAGCTTGCTTCTAGTGAATAATTTAAACCACTTGTCTGATTTCCTTTCTATTTAAGTTTCTCATATTCCTGCTTGCACTACTACATGTATGGTTTTCCTTATGAATTTGGTAGGTTTTTAAAATATGCCAGACATCCACTAGACATTGCACGTATAAAATGCATTATACAAAATCAATTAAGCTGTTGTATAATGTCTTGAGTCACAGTTTACTGAAAAAAGATAGTAAACCTTATACAGTTGTTTCATTATTTTGAATTATCTCCAAAGTACATGTAACTGCAACCCTCTTATCTGGATACTTATTTTTACTACAGTCTATTGTTATAATGCCTAAGCCCTAGTTCCAACACAAAAATTTTGTTTTACTTACTTTATTGCACAAGACGTTGTGGATGGTACAGTCCACCGTGCCAAAGCTGACTGTCCCGTCCAGTGACCTGGAGGCCTTCCTCCACTCTGGTAGCAGCATACGGCATGGAGGGCACCACTGGGCAATCAGAGATCAAATATACATGTAGTATACTTCACATAGAAAAACTGCAATACAGAAAGATGGCACACACAAAAACACAGACACACAGTCACACTACACACTAACACTGACACTGACAATAACACTGACACTATACATCCACTGATGGACAAGCCAAAAACAATGATAATTTTACTCCCTTGTAAAATTACATAGTACATATAGTCAGGAAATCTTCTGTCTGATTTCTACCAACCTGAGGAAAGGTTGTCTGTCATGACAGGAAAATACTTACTGGTGCAAAGAAGTCCACAAACCAGGGGTCTTTGTTGTCAATGACCCGACCTGGGAAGTCATCAGGGCTTAAAACTTCTACCATGGAAGCAGCAGCTTCTTTAGCAAAGTTCACAATGTCGTGGGCAGTCATCCTTCCTGTGAAACAATAAAAATAGTATAAGAGAAGAATGTTTCCCTTTTAAAAGTTTATTAAGTCTCTGCTGTAGTATATTACACAAGAAAACACAACCAGAAAGAGAGTCAAGACTAAGGCGACCCAGCCAACACATAACAGCCTACTTTACAGTCAGGTCCTATCCTTGGTGCTGAATACCTGGTAATGTGTGGTTATGCTACCATCCCTATTCCCTGGTGCTGAATGACACATACATGTTGGCATGTATCATACATTGCATCAGAACCACAGCCTACACACCTAAAAAGGATAATGCACAGGAAAGAAATAACACTTACATATACCCAAGGGAAAAGATAAATAGAAAAAAAGGAACATGATACTGACCATGATGTACTTCATGGCCACCCTTTGACTTGAAGACAGCTATGGAGGGATAGTGTCTGATGTGGAGATTCCTGCACAACTGTCGACTGTTAGTACAGTTTATTCTTCCAATCTGAAAAATTAGCAACATATCACATATTGTAGAAACATTTATAAGGAAGCATCTATAGCTAAGCTCTGCATTTAAAAGATGAGCCATTGAACTTCTCTCTGTAAAACTTCACCTTCACCTTCACCTTGTCCCTTCCTCTTCTGGAGGGTCGGGGACTGTGGTAGCATTCAGCACAAGCTTCCTCCATCCATCTCTGTCCTTGGCCATCTGTGTGCAGTCAGCCAGGGACCTGCCTGTCCAATCTCTGATGTCGTCTACCCATCTCCTTCGCGGCCTCCCTCTGCTCCTGCTACCACAGATCCGTCCTTGCAGGATGTGAGTTGAGATGTTCTGTGCTCTCGACACATGTCCGAAGTACTGTAGTTTCCTCCTTCTAATCATGTGTAGGAGTGATCTTCCGATCCCTAACTCTTCCAGGACTGAGGCGTTTGTACGATGTTCTGTCCAGCTAACTCTGAGCAGCTTCCTGTAACACTTCATCTCGAAGGCCTCGATCTTCTGTGTGTCTTTCGCATGGAGTGTCCATGCTTCGCAGCCGTAAGTCACCACGGGCCACACCAGCGCTCTCAACACCCTCATCTTGGTGGACATCTTTAGGACTCTGTCCTTCCAGATGACGTCCAGGGAGCTAAGGGCTGTCCTCGCGGCTCCCAGGCGCGCACTGACCTCCCGGCTGCTTCCAGCTGTTTCGTCAATGATGGCACCCAGGTACTTGAAAGTTGACACCTGCTCCAGCTGGACCCCCTGACAGAAGATACTCAGTACTGTGGGTTGCTTAGTTGCTGCCATGACCTTGGTCTTCTTGGTGCTGATCTCCAGCCTGTACTGTAGAGACACAGTGTTGACTAGGTCCAGCAGCTCTTGAAGTCTCTCAGGTGATGTTGCAATCAGGGCGATGTCATCAGCAAACCGTAGATTGTTGACAGTCCTCCCACTGATGTTCACACCAACCCATGAGAGTTCACCAGCAGACTCTCTCATCACTGCTTCCGAGTAGAAGTTGAAGCAGATCGGTGAGACCAGACAACCCTGACGCACTCCTTTCGTGACTTGGAACCAGTCAGTTAACTCATCCTCCACTCTGACCGCTGCCTGTTGTCGTCTGTACAACTGCTGTAGCGAGTTGACTAGGTACCTGGACACACCCATATCCTTCAAGATCTTCCACAGGGTTCTGTGCCTTACAGAATCGAAAGCCTTTTTATAGTCAATAAATGCCATAAAAAGTTTTAAGTTAACTGTAAAACTAGTTAATATCAAACAGGTCACTTAAAACTTAACTTCAATCCAAATACTAACAAATGCAATTAAAACTTACATGTATTACAGCTCAAAATCCACAGTTCATACACGCCATTATACATGTACACGAACATTCAATACTATGCTTAATCATTGACAAGTAAATGTAACACTTTTTCTATATATGATAATGTAAAGACTATGGATACAAAAACATCTGCCAGTTGTCTTACATTCATGCCCTCCAGTAGTGCAGGTAGTTTCCTCAGCTCCAGGTCCACATCATTTCCTACCATGAAGTGTAGAAGCCACGACTGCTCCTCTCCTTTCCTCAGCCCTTCTCGCATTTTCTACAGGCAAAATACAGTTAGACATAACCAACAAATCTGCATAGTTTTACTATGGAAGTAACAAATATCAATTAAGAATGATGATAAGGACATTACATCCCTGATTTTCAGACGATCTTTAAGCAGATGACCGAGACCAAATATCAACATCCTAAAAATGTGCATGTGCAGTTAAGTCCAACCATTCTGACTATCAAAGTGAAATGAAAACAGTATATAAAACAATGCACGTGGAAACAAAATGGACGCTGTCCTTGGTGCTGAATTCCTGGTTTGCAGTATTGTGCATTCTCACACTATTATATCCAGAACTGAGACTGCACATTTCTACTTGTTATTTGGACCAAACAAAAGGCATGGATAATGGACTGTACAAGAAAAAGAAAGGAAAGTTTATCAAGAATACACTTGCCTCTAGGCTAACAGTAATGCAAGTGCATACAGAACATACAAATCAGCAAAGTATAGTCTTTGCCTTCTTAATCAATATCGAGAGAGTTTCAAGTCGATGAACATTTGAACAAGTACACATTACACTAGTATAAGCAAACAAAATACAGTTAGTCTTGTCATACAGGTAGACATAAAAGCAGCAATCAGGGACTTGTAACTTTGGTTGCCAATGACAGTGTGCCGCTCAATTTTGAAATTGAACCATTGCCAGTGTAAGTAAATTGCACAGCAATGACATTTTTATGAGGTATATATCCCAGAATATTGGCTAATAAAGGTCTCAACAGAGTACTTAACATTTCCGTAATGTTCCCTCAAACTTCTTAATATTTCCTAATATTGAACGAGAAGTAACGAAGTATGCAACAAACATTACTCTTCATTTTTGCAGAACTATTAAAAATCTTCAGGATATGATATTGACAGAAAGACAAGTTATAGAGATTGCAAGAGACAATATCAGGAAGCTCTAACAAATATTGATATCTGGGGAAATATTCATTGTGACATTACTCACTGAATTTCATTCATATTCAATCAATTTTGGCATTGTTTCAAGAAGTAGTGTTAAGTCTAAGTGAACTTCATAAGTTATGCCTCGTACATGTAACTTTTTAGATGTTAACTTACATTATGTTGACTATTAAAAATACACTCAAAATGAAAGCCGTACTTGTGCTTGTATGTGTGTGTGTACATGCTTCCGTATTGTGTGAGTGTGTTTGCATGGGTGAACAAAAGCCAAGAGTGTTTTTCAAACAATTCTTACCTAGCTTTAATTTGCATCATTTTGTTTGAGGTTTTTGTTTAGTACTCATACAAACACCTATAATAATTCGTTCCTTTCTGATTAATCCAACTCTAAGACCTGTTATGAACAGAGACTTTGAAGCAGTAATGGAGAGGCTTGCTGCAAAACATCTGATCGATCTTAGCTTCATGATAAATGTCATACAAGGGCATTTTCCATGCAGACTGTCATGTAGTTCTTCATAATTTCCTTATTATCTTAGCAATAAGCCTTCAACACTGCCAACAGGATTTGGCACAGACATTGAGATCTAAAATCTCTTTGACATTGAACTCCCAAGAGATTTTACATACTCGATAGGAATCAAGCTCACTTTAAAAGTCAATATGAATGGATTTGTTCCTTCTACTCTAACTGTAACGTGAGCCAATAGAATACAGATAAACTGTAGAAGACAAACATTACAGCAACTTAACCGAGATTTAAAGGCCAGGCTTTAACATGATTTGATGCCCTACAAAACCCTAACAAGATTTTTATTAGAATTGTCTATAAATACAGGCTTAGAGGGATTTAGAGGGATTACACCAAACGATGATACACTTACACCTGATGTTACTGTTGTCACGTTAATTCCCTTTAAAGGGAAGTTATGGACTTGTTCATTAGTGTTAATCGTAAATAGATGGGATGTTACACAAAAGTATGGATTGTGTGATACACCACAGATGTGCACTTTCCTGCACCAAATGGGAATTGACTGCCTCTGTACCAGGGACAAGAAACTTCTCAGTAGGACAGATTACACCTACATGTATGGGTCTGGTGCAATCATGTTAACGGGATGAGTAACATCTACTGACCTAATTCTACATATATCCACCACCCTGAAAAATGCATTTAAACAGATGTCCAACACAATGTCTCTCAGTAAAATGTACTCCTGTATATCTAACCTGTGCATGCCTGGGGTGCTGCACTAGACTAGAGCTCTTTCAAACAAACTGTATGTAACCAGATAGAAAGATAAATGGTACTGGAGGATAGTAGTACACCTGTACATCTTCGCAAGATCAAAAGAGTCCTCATTGAGTCTAACTACATCTAACATGAGTTTGAGGATCTTAGCTGTGGCCTCCTGTGTATTGAGACTGTTGCATATCTATGTTCATGGCATAGTGTTTTTTATTACACTTTTGTAATATACCGAAGTGTACATGGTTTCATAAGTTACTTCAAAAGAGTCCTGTTCAGGTCTACCCATCTGGCATGAGTTTGAGTATCTCTGCCACTGCATCCTGTGCATCCAGACTGCCCAGCTCATGGTATAGTGACTTTTCTTACAATTTTCTTGTAGTAGTAGTAAATATTAGTAATAAGTAGTAGTAACTAATGTACATAAATTACCTCAAAAGACTCCTCGTTAAGTGTGATGACATCAGGCATGAGTTTGAGTATCTCTGCAGCTGCCTCCTGTGCGTCCAGACTGCTCAGCTCCTGTCCCTTGTCTTTCTTCACCTCCCGTGGTGGTAGAACCTGGTGCCTGACTCCACCCCTAACCTCTCACAGATGGGCTCTGACACGTCACAGTCGACACCTCCGATGTTCACCAGCCGGTCTAACATGGCTGCAAGCTTCTTCTGACTCGTGTCTGACAAACAGTCTGGAAAAAACAACAAGAGAACTTTGTATAACACCAAAAAATATCTCTAGAACCCTTGTGTGTAGAGTGTCTACTGTATCCAGGACCAGAATCATGCTCAGACACAGATGCATAGTCAATGCATATCCAGAACCAAAATCTCTGTTCTTGGATACACAGAGACTATCCAGAAGTGTGCCTTAGCCTAGGCCTACCCGTCATGCATAGAACTAGCTATAGACAGGCAAGGTCTGGGTACAATGATGCATTATGTGTTGTAATGTGCAAGGACTGGAAACCAGGAATTCAGCACCAAGGACAGCATCCATTTTGCTTCCACATACATTGTTTTACATACTGTTGCCATTTCATTTTGATAGTTAGAAATGCTACACTTTATTGCACATGCATGTTCAGGGCTAGACAAGTACATGTAGGACCTGTAGGTAACAAGTCATTGGATCATAAGATCTTGCTATTTGCAGGATGAGGAATTATTTTCTCACAAATTGGATCTATTTGAAGATCTGTTACAAAAGTGTAGTTGATATCATTATAATTGCTATCACATAGCCTACAATTTTGGTACAATGAGATTCTTTATAACATTTCTCCACTTACCCAGCCCTGAGGAACAGAAGGTGATGACCCAAGGTAGGTCTGCTGTCTCTGTGTTGTGGATGGCCATGTCAAAATTAGCTGTAAAGAAAAAAAAACAGCATTAATTTTCTGTCAACTATACTGTAGAGAATGCAACAACTTGATGCACTGAAGCACCTGAGTGGTAAAGGTTGAATATAGCTAATGGCCGAGGAACTCTACACAGTCTATACATACTATATGATACCTCCTACCAAATGAACTCAACCAACCAAACATAAACTAACCAACTGACCAACCAACTTCTTTCAGGTTAAATTGAGTACCTAGCTTGGATTAGGTCGGCATCCTCTTGAATGGGGTGTAAAACTGGTGTCCTGACTCAAACATTTTCAAGAACCCACCATACCGTTACTTGTCGAAAAAATAGGAGTCCATTGCAGTGTGAGTGGATCAAACCTTACAGTTTGATCTTGCGCAGCTTGTACTTACTGTACAAAACCGGAGTGTTACAACTAAATGCAGTTCACCTGTTATGTGAAAGAAACAAAAACCAGCCAACCAACTCCTGAGCAGCCAACAACTAGTATTCATTGCCAGTTTTCCAACATTTCTATCATTTCCAGCTCAACAGCATCAGAGAGCCGTCCTTGAGAATCATGAGTGATGGATAGACAGTGATTAAGACCAGCAATCGACCCGCACTACCACTAACTGCCTTTTCATAGAAAACCTGTAGAAAAGATCAAAGGGATCAGGGAACAGGCCAGAATCATTATGCCTGGCCAGTGGACATATTTATCATGTCAGTGAAAGATTTGGTCTCCAGGCATTGCCATCTTTCTCTGTCCAACTTAGGGTCTAGCTGAGTACCATTAGCCCATTACTGTGGTGGCAATGTTACAAATCACACTCATTATTATTATATGAGACCATAGGATGTGCCAAGAACTAGTCTGTATGAAACATGAGCTTTTGGAGTCCACCCAAAGGCTGTAAGGCTTTGCTGCTTGTCCAAATTACAGTAACTGTTGAAGATAATGAAAAAGCAACATACTTGTATTTGTAGGAAAAGCTACAGTTGGTCAATGCTTTCACTCATTTCATAATAGAGCTTACACATAGCTTGTACCTAAAAGCCCCACAGAAAAGTGCACTAAGGAAACATTGACTGTAACTTTCTACTTGTACTGGTTGTAAATTGATCACTGTGCTGTGCTAATGGATGTGTAGTATTGACCGGCGTTTGGCACCAGCTCTAGAGTTGCTAAAGGGAATCTGATCTCTCCTTGCTTCCCGTTTGGAGTGGACTAGCTCATTTGTCATTCAGAGATACAGCAGTGTGTGCTACTTAGTAACTGTTGGTGGTGAATACAACCTTGTCCATTAGTTGTATTGATTTTTGTCTTTTGGAAAATTTTTTTGGAAATCTTTTGAACTAAATTTATTTGCTGCCATGGGCAGTGACAGTTGGACAAAATGTAATATTAGATACACACGATTGGTAATTTGTAATCCTTCAAGATAAGATAGGAATACTTCCTCATTTTACTTGTTATCGAATTTCCTGACATACATACATGTATATACAAAGATAGTAAGAGAGATACACTCATGTATTGGTCTGGCTGTGAGTAAAAAGCGAGATACATCTTTTAAGAACCCAATATTTGGAACAATGCCAGTATCAAAGCCAGGATGTTAGATGCCTTAGGGTGGAAATCTACAAGACACACCGGCAGTGATTTGTTAAGTGCAAAAATTGCCAACAGTCGTCACAAGTTAGACATGATAAGGGAGTTCTTGACAAGTTATCAATGACAGCCACAATGCATTATGCAATATCTTTGCTCACTTTGAAAGCTAAAGTGTGGGAAATGCCAATGATTGTTTCCCCTGACTGTACATGAAAGTCAGAGCTGACATTAAAGTTTACCAAATCTCTATAAGACCCTGTTATTACTGCAATGTCCTTCCACTCAACAAAGTATCACTAGCCGAGAAGCTTGTTCTTTTAACAATCAAGTATTTTTAATCTTGAGCTGAATGTCACTACTATATTTGTGAATGTCAGCATCCAAATTCAGCCAATAGACTGCTAGAAGTGCCATCGCATGTAAATATAACCTGTAAATGAATACATGAACCATTACTACTACTAGTTTGTGTAGGAGGTAATAAAAAAGACTGTTTAAGACCATCAAACTGGACCAAATTTACAATCAGAAACAGCTTTACATCAACCAGATAATTTCAATTTTACGAACCAGACATGTACGGAACTTCAAAAGCACTTTACACACATAGCTAACAACCCATTGCTGTACACCTAACATTTAATGGACTCCGGGCTTTAGTTTTGAGAAGGTCGTTGACTGCTAGGTCGTTTGAAGGTCGTTGTTATCTAACTTTATCTACAGGACTCTATGATGTACAGGCTTTACAAAATAACCCCCCTTCTATCATGCTGGCGTTTACGACTCCCGTACTCAGTAAGCTTTGTCTTCAGTGACTGTTAAGTGCATCTGGAGGGAAAGGTCCATTCATGAATTGCAGATTGATGCAAAATGTTCTTCGGAATATACAGGGCAAGATGATCTGGTAACATTATCTTCCTTGTAATGTACGATTAAAGTGCCTGTAGCTTCTGTGAGTATCAATCTTCCGGTGTTGATAGCAACTGATGAACTTTTACACAAGCTTTATGGAAAGGAAATGAACTTTTTTGCACTGTGACTGATTCACATCCCTGAAAACTATATGTAAACTAGCATTACATACCGGTTGTACAGTGGTGTTTTGGAGCCTGGCATCAGCATTATAATGCTACACATTACTGCATTCTGGCGTCCATCTAAAAGTTAGTTCCTATGTTGTACATGTTAATACAAAAAGCCTGGGTGCCATCCATTTTGTAACAGGGCTCCTTCCACTTGCTACTCTGGTAATGATAGCAACTAAATATATTTTACACAGTCAAGCTTTTACAGGAAGAAAGACTTGGTGTATTTTTTTGCCCTGGAACTGATTTGCAACCTTGAAAACTGTCTAATGTATGTTGTATCATAACATTAGCTGCATAATATAATGCTACACATGACTGCTGATACAGGAGTTCATCTAAAAGCCAGTTCCTAAGTAGGAAATGCTGTCTGAAATGCAGAGCCGCCGGGGACTGGTACTGAACCTTTTATACCCGCCAGGCTCCCATGTGTAGCACTGAGACACGGATATTCTGATGGGCTCCATTCTCAGCAAAATGAACTGTGAAGCCCCAGGCCTTGTAAAACTCCAGAGTCTGGCCAGACCTTATGCTGTAATATTCCTAGGGAATATGTGCTGTTCATGGAATAACTGATGTACATGTAGATAGGGTGAGGAACTTGTCAGGTCACAGGAAATGTGAAATGCTTTTGCCTGGTAAATGTTTTAACCATGCTACGCATATTTCTGCCATTTACATGTACCAAGATGGTAGTGTTTTATTTAAAACTAAGTACACAACTGGACTATATTTGAAAATGAGACATTTCAGACACCATCCACTGTATTGAGTTACTGACAAGAGACTCTGAACAGCTTAAACCTAGCAGTTCTAAAACCCAGTTGGGACTGACTGTCAATCTATCACCGTATAAAGCATCATCATCAGTGACTGAGCTTTAAGACTTCAGGCATTCTGAAACTCATGGGAAGTTTGCTTCTGATGAATGTCTTAATGCACTTGATACGGAAACTACTTGGTTTCCTTCACTGTCATGTAGAATGATTCAGAAGTAAATGTTATATTCATGATTATTGGCAAATGCTTATCATAATCTTGAGATAGCAAAACAGCTTGGATATGCCAAAATAAATTTTCTTTAGGTCATCTAGAGTGATCTAGAGTTAGCTCTACAAAATTATATACCCTACAAAATTATCTATAGTTAAGTTAAGGGCTACACTGTAGGAACGTGCTTAGAAAATCAAGAGGATAGAAAATCTAGATGAGTGACTTGCTGCCCAAATCTCTCTAATAAAAAGCAGTTCAGATCTGTGGATGGCCTTGGGGATGGAATATTAGCTGGTAAATTCAACCCCTTTCCGCCGTACTGACATTCATGATTCCCTAGTTTGCACGTTGATGTGTGATTATGAATGCATATGCGGGGAAGCCTCCTCTAAGGAAATGGCATCGGATACATCCGTATTGACCCTCGGATTGTAATACCATCCAGGGAGAGTATCAGGAGCTTAGTTTGTATTGCCTAGAGCACTCAAAATGCTCAAATCACTACTCTGGATAGTTCAGCTAGCTTTACTGCACTGGGTGAATTTTCTAGAAGCAACCCACATCCTAGATTGAAGTAACCTTACGTAAGACCTTTGGGTCTGGAATTTCAGACACTTTCAAAGCAGCTAAAAGATAAAGTTGTAAGATAGTGTTGAAACCTTTTTGTCTTCAAATTGCCCTGAGTGCATTTTGTAGAAGCCACATCCTAGAGGTCACTTTATATGAGACCTCCTGACTCAACCTGAGAAATTCAGGCACTTTTGAGCCGCAGTTAAAAGATTGAGTTGTAAGATTGTGTTGCTCACTGTCATCAAATTGCCCTCGGTGAATTTTCTAGTATCATGCCACATCCTACAGCTAACCTTGTGCAAGACCTTTCTGAATGACTGAGAAATTCAGGCACTTTTGAAGCAGTCAAAAGATCAAGTTGGAAGATTGTGTTGAAAGCTTGCTGTCTTCAAATTGCCATCAGTGAATTCTCTAGAAGCAAGCCATATCTTATGTATATAGGTGACCTTGTGTAAAACCCTAGTGGATCACACAGAGAAATTCAGGCACTTCTAAAGCAGTTAAAAGATCAAGTTGTTCAGCTTGCGCTGAACCTGAAAGCCCACAGTATTTAAATTAAGCCTGAGGTGCCAATGAATAAGGCATTTGTCCCTGATGGTTATGCTGAGAGCTTAAGACTGATAAGGCAGTTCTTAGCTGCTGGCATTAGATAAAATTTGGCTACAGGATAAAGAGAATATATCATACCATCACCTCTACAAGACTGGAGTTTTTACAAACTTGCAAACAAATTTACTGTATTTTGCTTTAAGCC